ATTAGAAAAAAAACAGAGCTTGAAAAGAGAACTTTGGAATAATATTGTGCTTTAAGTATGGAGCCGCACCTAAACTTCGAGCACAGAGGGACAACTGATGATTTGTTTTTTCAGTAAAATTTGCAAATGAGTTTTTTCATTAAAAGAAATGCCCACATAATTCGAACTGTGCGTCTGAATAAGAAAACATTTCCTTTTGTTTTCAGTGTCCCCTCTTAATTGCATAGACATAACATTCATCTTTTGCACAAAATGGAAACAAAACACTTAACGTTTAGGAACAAAACAAAAAAAATAACGTCATCATTCTCAATATTTGTCTAATCTATACAGGCGACAGCATAGATTAAAAGCGAAGCACTGTCACTTACAAAAATAGAACAAAACGTTAGGACACTAGATACTAAGAAATTATTCTGCAAGATATGAAACTTGCAGATGATTTGCACTCTTTTACACGTTTGTGATATTGCTATCCTTAATACTCGGATTGTTTTCAAGGAATTTTTTGTCACCCTAATTACCCATTGCGAGTTGATTCTTGTGCTTGATGAAGAACTACGAAGTGTTTTCACGAATTCTACGAATCAGATAGCCCTTAATTCATGAAATTCCGTCTCTAAAATAGAATTGAAGAAAACCCTTTTAATTTTGTAAAGGACATAATAAAACTTCTGATAGCTATAAGAACTGCTATCAACCAATTTGTCGATATTTTATGACCACTTTCATGCAATGAGGATATACTACACGCCTGCGCTAATATTGAACAAATCACGGAATCACATCTCAAAGCATGTGTGCTAATGTGTATTGTTTATATTCGTGTCTTGCGTTTATTTTCGTATGACGCGAGATCCATCCAAAGAATAATCTGTTATACAATATTGTTATATTGCCATTATGTGAATAAAGAAAAAATAATAATTTTAATCTTCAAAAACTTGTATATATTTCATTTTTAACAATATCCATCAGTTATAAAATCGTTCCATTGAATAACATCACTTTCTCATAAGGGTGAAATTGACCCTAAATGGCTAATTTTAGGTATGTCCAAAATTCGGTTATTCTAGTGTTAAATAAATAGCTTAAATTTACTAAATACTGAGAAAGCACATTTAGTTTTATTCTTTTTGCAACAAATCTCATAACTTAAGTATTCTGAGCATTGTTAGACATTTACACGATTCACAATAATCTAAAATAACTAAATAAGAAAAAACTCTGAGACAAAGTTTTTTAAGTGGAATAAAATTAAAATTTAAAAATAAAGTAAAACAAAAGGTTCTAAATCGAAATAATAACAATAATAAATAAATTTTTATTCTTGAACAAGCTTTTATGCTTGTTTTTTCAGTTGTGTTACTTGTGTAATCATATACGTTTCACCTGGCAATGGTTCTTGAACGAATATTGAACCTTTAAAAAAGAGTAAAATAAAGTTGCAGTTTTTTTTCCTGTCAAAATGAATTCAGTCTTGTTATTTATTAAAAGTCTTAACTTATTAGGTACTTCCTGCTTCGTTTATAAACGAAAACACCTCAGGGTAAGAGATATAATGCAAGTTGCAGGTCGAATTCATATTTAAACAAATTTTTCGGGGAACAGAAACTTATAAATAAGATCTTGCGGGTCTTAAAACAATAATTAGTTAAAAAAATTTTAATTGGAAAAAAGTAGTAATAACTTTTATTGAGTTGATTTGAATTCGGCTCAAGAACCAGAATCGGCAATAACGTGTCAAATACAAATGATATTACGTATTCACTATGGCTCACTTTTAGAAATTTTAAATTGTATTGAAGCATAATATTGTTTAAATTTGCTGCAACCTTAATAGGGTGCTGAGTTGAACCATATTATCGTACTTCTTAAACTTGATTACACGGTATTAGCGGCCAACTTGAACAGAAACAATATTCTACACTGTCAGAAATAACTGTAAATTCAACAGGCAAAAAAATTAAACATATTTTTCACAGAAAAATAAACTGCATAAAGGAAAATAGAAATTTTTTTTCTATTTTTAACCGTTATCCGCTCACTATAAAAAAATTTCGTATTTTTTTCGGACTTTCTCCGCGTAATTGATGATTTAAGGATGCTTTGTTCACAAAACCGTTTTTCTTTGTTTTTCATCCCAATCATAAACAAATTAAAAACTGACAGCTCAAATTCGAGTTTTTGCCATATAGCTTTGTTTACCTTAACGTGAAATAACTACACAAGTCATTTTACGAATATTTTCTATACTTGCTCTTATTTTTCAGCAATCATTTTATGGTTTTGAGCTTCGTATGAATAAAATTGTGATTCGACTTTAACTGTCAATTTGATACTTATACCCTGCCAGATAATTATCTGTTTTTATAATTGCTTATGATGAGTTAAAATTGGTAGACATTTTTATTAAGATGGACCACTATAACTTAAAATGTTTTCCTAAACAAGATTTCAATAAGTAAGAATTTTAAAATAAAAACAGTTTAAGACTTTTCTTCATAAAGGAACCCAGGAGACGCTGTAACTCAAAGGACATAACACTTGCCTCCCAATAAAGTGCCTAGGTTCGAATCCCAGCATTGATTGAATTGATTATATGAATCCTGCTCTCTTCTCTCACCGATCACAAGGATGACATATTTACTTTGTAGAGTTTGTTTGCATAAATAACAGTACTTATTTGCTTAAAAAAATGTCCATTTTTAAATAAATGTTTTACTGTGAAATAAACTGTCTCATCCTGATACACGAACCGATAGTTTTTTTCCCCGTAAATTTAACAGATTTTTCCAGCAGTGTATTTCACAACTTAGGTTGCATCAAATTTGTACTGCATTACGATTTAAGACATCAATGTTATAGTTCAATAAGCCGGTCGTTTTTTTTCCTTTGAGGATGTTAGTAAGTTGGCCGAAAGGTGTTGTAAAATAAGACATGCAAAACTAAGCAAACAAACAAAAAACTCACAAAAAGATTGTAAATTTCTGTGGTACTTGAGTCGTCAGGCTCATGTTTATCTACATTTAAGTTCACAGTAAACTTTACAATAATTGAAAATTAATGTCGAACCTATTTCTTTACATGAATCTGTTCTTAAAGACATTTGTAAAACATTATAGACCTAGTATAAATTTTTTTTTAAACAAACATTAAAATCATATGCGGCATGAGTCACGTGAATGAAACATAACATAAGTTGATAAAATTGCAAATCATATCAAAATCAGCCCATTTTATCAATCAATCTCTAGCAGTTATTCGAGTCCTCCTCTTCTTGTGTCAACTTTATGTCCAAAGATAAGAAAGAAAAAAAGTTAATCGGTCTGTGTAACTTACGAAATTTCAAGACACATAGCTTCCATGACTTAATTAATTTTTCCCATCTATTTTTCTAATTATATGCAGAGTTATAAGAGTAGTGTAAAGTTCCAAGATTTGCAAATGGAAGTATTATTGAACTGGTCCACAGTGAATAGCGTGCTTCATTATATGGCTAAAAATATATATAATTCATTTCAGATAGTTTATTTCGAGGAAAAGAAAAAAACATTTTTCTTGTGAATTTATACATAAGTTGATACAATTGCAAATCATTTCAAAATCAGCCCATTTTATCAATCATTCTCTTGCAGTGATTAGAGTCCTCCTCTGCTTGTGTCAACTTCATGTCCAAAGATAAGAAAGAAAAAAAGTTAATCGGTCTGTCTAACTTCCGAAATTTCAAGACATATAGCTTCGATGTCCGAATTCGTTTTTCCCATCAGTTTCTTAAATTTCTGCAGAGTTATAAGAGTAGTGTAAAGTTCCAAGATTTGCAAATGGAAGTATTATTGAACTGGTTCACAGTGGATAACGTGCTTCATTATATAATTCATTTTAGATAGTTTATTTCGGAGAAAAAAAAAGACATTTTTCTTGTGAATTTAATAATGAAAGAAAAAGCTTTCACCACAGAAATACCCACGATTGTTCTGTAATCATTACGGTTTGTTGACAATTAACAAATTGTTTCCTAAAAATAAAAATATATATATATACAATTAAACTATATCCGAATTCTTTTTCAGATTAAGATTCCATTCCTATTCGGAAAAAATTTAAACCCAATAATTTTGCTCGATTACCTATGCAACTTCATAACATATTTGTTTTTCAGATTTTTATTGACTTTTTGGTTACAATAAAACTTCTTAAATATTATCACCAAAAAGATCATTTAGCAATAGTATTCAAAAGCAATAGTAAATAATCAATTCTTACTACAGCTTTAGAATTTTAATTAATTTTTTGCATTCATTATTTTAATTGTACATGCTGCGACTGAACTAAATTTATATAAAAGTAAATACAATATTGAATTTTCTCAATTGATTTAGCGTGACATGTACGTTACGCAAATTAAAAGTATTCTAAGAGAATTTTCTTATCTGAAACAGGACTGTTTTTACATCAAGCAAATGTTTTTGTATTCTTTTCAAACATCAAGTACTAGATAAAAGAAGAAAGAAATAATTAAGTTTTAAAAAAATCTTTCATATTTTGAGTATTTTTTTGCATCATGGCATATAAAAAATTCCGGCGTTAATAGGTTGAATGTGAATTGACCAATTCACTACTGAATAATTGTAAAAAGATAACTATATATATATATTTATTATAAAAAGTTGCATAGTGAATTAATATCATACGATTATTTTATATTACAATAAAAGAACGACACTTTTAGTTTTGAATAATAATGAAAATTTAAACGCAATAATTACAGAGAAGAGCATCAAGAAGTTTAATTAACATTTAATTGAATACATAATATTTTTTACGCAGCCTAAAAGGTAAATATATTCGCAGAAAGCTGTCATTCATGATTTAATTGCCCTTGCTCATTGAACAAACTTTAATTAGAATATCCAGCATTCCATCACGTATGCACTAGTGATACCATTACTCCAGAAGTGAGATTTTTTTTCTCAGACGTTTAATTCCAGTTAAAGAAGCCGGTATAATGAGTAGGCCAGGGGCGGTCCCACTCTGGAGGCCTAATATCGTGTCCCGTTGCATCTTTCGACACATTGATAGCTAGGTCATTGGGGTGCGACAACCGTCCTTCTACAGGTAAGTGTTAATATCATTTTTATTCTCGATCTCATCATCTAAGTTTGTCACACTTCGGAGAATGCTTAAAACGGATTACTGAATGGAAAGATAATGGCATCGGCTTATCGGGATTTATCACTATCTAAATCACTTTCGCGTCTCTCTGTAATGTTTGTATTTATATTACCGTTTAACCTTACAATTGCCGAAATTGGGATTTTGTTCTATCATTCGAAAGTTGTGCCGTGGTTACGTAAACGGATATTTCCAGATCCTGATTATCACGTGGTCCGAAAAAATGCATGTCCTCTAATTTACGGCAAGTTTCATAAAAGTTAACCTAACTGCAAACATTTCTGTGCAAAGTCATTATAATTACAGATATTTGCGCCTCTTGATTACCATACAGACTGACAATATTTGCTCTGAATGTCCTCTAATTTACGGCAAGTGTCCTAAAAGTAAACCTAACTGCAAACATTTCCGTGCAAATTCATTATAATTACAGATATTTGCGCGTCTTCATTACCATACAGCATGACAATACTTGCTCTGAATGTCCTCTAATTTACGGCAAGTTTCCTAAAAGTAAACCTAACTGCAAACATTTATATATATACATTTATATATATTCTTGTATATATAACTCACACATTTGTAAATCTTAACTACTATTAAAATACTCGTAAACTCTAACTCTAAGCATGTGCAAAGCAATTAATTGAAATTTTCAAGCCATATAGTATAAAATGACTACTTTAACTATCCAAGAAATTAATGTCATATTAAAAAGTTAAACGAATTAAATTTCTTACTTCAGTAAAGAGTTATGAAAATTTCTTTATTCACTAAAGCAAAAACAATAGATAAATATCTTGAATACTAAAGTAAGACAATACAAGCTTAAGCATAAAACTGCATCAACGCTCAAATTAAAATAATTTGCAAATACATAATAAAGATTTTGTGGAAGAAAGCGGGTACGAAAACAATAAACTGTAAAAAGTCTTTACAATGTGAAATGAAACTGCACTGCCTAAAGTCAGCGGGTAACAAAATAAAATTCAAGTCAGTATTTCGAAATATTATTCTCTTTTTCTTCTTTTGGAATAACATTCACTTTCAAATGTAAAAAGAAAAAAATTTCTCTTAAAAGAAAAGTAACTTTCAGAAGTAAGTTTTTTTTCTCCATTTTACGGGAAAGTTTTGTGTTAGCCTTGTCACATTAAATTTATATTTTTTTATATTTGCTAAGGAATTTGAAGAAATCAACCATGTTTAATTTCATGTGGAAGGAAAGGAAAAAAGGATAATTAAAAAATTAAATTCATGTTTAATTATATTCGTTGGCTAAGGAATTTAAAAAATCTATATTATTTGAGTTATAAAGGTAATAATATAAATAGTTGTAATTATGAGTTATATTATAATTTCAGCTCGAGATATCCAACAATTTTTTACGCATAAAAGATACAAATAAATTGAAAAAAAAGTTTTTGTTGTTGTTAAAAATGAGAAAATAAATGATAAAAATTGATCATTTAAGCATACAAGTAGTAACTTGTTTTTGGTACATTTAAAAATGATTGATACTGTTATTTTCAACGGGCAAGATTTCTCTTTTTGTTGAATTCTCTAAAAACCATCGGAAAAAGTGAAAACGACTTAGCATAAAAGTGGCCTCTCTTAAATACTTATTCGGCATAAAACGTGCATTACAGAAAAAATTTCATTTGCAGATGTGTAAAGAAAAAATAGAAACATAAAAAAAAGCAAATTGAACTGTGTGGTATTTTTATGATAATTTTAAAAATAAACATATTGAACAATAAAGAAACATGCATCTTGAGGTATCAGAAAAAATTCCCCAACAATTCTTTCTCTAGAAAATAAAAATCTTTTATGCTTAAAAAAGAGCTCTTAATAAACGTAATAATTTTTGTAATTATTTGTGGATAAAAATCAAACGTAAAAACAATTTCAGATTTTAAAAAAAATTCCAAATAACAATGAATTGTGCCAGTTTTTTAATAAAATTAATAACTGATTTTTGTAATCGATTTTTATNTTCCTGGTTCGAAAACAATTTGTGGTTACGGTTGCTCTTTTTTCACAGAAAAGAAATACTAAAATAATCGTTTATCTTTTTATTTTATAGGTCGACCTGTCAAAGTTATTCTTTTTTTTTTTCATTGGGTGTAAACAAGTTTATGTTCAATGCATAAAAGATACAAATAAATTGAAAAAAAAGTTTTTGTTGTTGTTAAAAATGAGAGAATAGATGATAAAAATTGATCATTTAAGCGTACAAGTAGTAACTTGTTTTTGGTACATTTAAAAATGATCGATACTGTTATTTTCAATGGGCAAGATTTCTCTTTTTGTTAAATTCTCTAAGAACCATCGGAAAAAGTGAAAATGACTTAGCATAAAAGTGGCCTCTCTTGAATACTTATTCGGCATAAAACATGCATTACAGAAAAAATTTCATTTGCAGATGTGTAAAGACAAAATAGAAACATAAAAAAAAGTAAATTGAACTGTGTGGTATTTTTATGATAATTTTAAGAATAAACATATTGAACAATAAAGAAACATATGCATCTTGAGGTATCAGAAAATATTGCCTCAACAATTCTTCCTCCAGAAAATAAAAATCTTTTATGATTAAAAAAAGCTCTTAATAAAGCTAATAATTTTTGTAATTATTTGTGGATAAAAATCAAAAGTAAAAGCAATTTCAGATTTTAAAAAAAATTCCAAATAACAATGAATTGTGCCAGTTTTTTAATAAAATTAATAACTGATTTTTGTAATCGATTTTTATAATCGGTTTTTATTATTTATACGTTAAAATTTGAAATAAAAAAAATTACCGATAAAAAAGTAAATATATATTAGTCCCGTTTTCAATAAAAACTAATAAATTATTTTGTACGTTTATTATTTTCCATGTGTAAATAATATACAACAAAAAGAATCGAGAATAACTTAAACTTACATTAACACTCGTCTTTTATTAAAATAACTTAAATTTATCTAAAGCTTTCTACATCAGTTATTTATGAATAAAAATTGAAAAAAATTAGAAATAAATTTATAACTGAAAGTATTACCGTGTGCAATCAGTACAAAAATGTAAACTATAAATTTAAAATTATGAGCTTTGAGCTATATATCATGCAAATAATTCTGTAGGTCTTGATTTCCAATATAATTAACAATAGAAGATTTGTATGAAGAATTTAAAAGGAAAATACATGTGAACTCAAGCCAGTTTTGTTATCTGAAAAATTCTATTTTTTCATCCCAATAGTAAAAAACATTCAAATTTCCTACTTCAATTTGATTTCTTTTAAATAATATAACTCAATTATATTTTCTACTTGTTTACTTATATTTCAAAACTATAATTTTTAATAAATTTTGAAAGAAGAATTTCGTCAAATCAACAAAAATATTAGATTTAAAATGCTTATTTGAAATAGTAAAAAAAAAGATGTATGATTAATTTAAAATTCTACTTCTAATTTGCTTGAACGAATTCGATTTATCTAAATCATGCAAATTGTTGAAACAAAAATAATGTTTAAAATTTTTTAAATAAATTATTAAATTTATTTTCCTTGGGACGTTTTTTTCTTTTTTTCTTCTCTCTCTAAAGTACTTTATGGTGAACGGTTTTTCATAAAGCATATCCAAAGATAACCAAAGATAACAGTTTTCTTTAACATAGGTAACTCAAAATTTGAATAAGCTGCCTTTCATTTTCGTCATAATGATCTCAGGTATTATTATTTTAAGATTGACCTGTTTCATTCTAATTTAAATGCATTTTTAGTAAAATTTTATTTAATGAAAAACGTTTTCAATTTCAAAATGAATTAGACTATTATAAATGAAATATTTATTCAGGTGTAAATGGAATTAATTTGATTCAGAAATTTTTTAATGTTTCCTTTTTTAAAATTATTTTTATCAAACTTTATTATTGGGTTNTTTCAGAAGAAAAATAATAGTTTACCAGCACGTTTCACGTGTTTCTTGTGAAATTTATTAGATATAGTATTTCTGTGGATTTTGCACTTCTGAGAAGCTTCTGCAATCGACATACCACCAGCAACTGCTTGCAAACATTGTTGCAGCATTTCTAAAGTGTAATCGTGGTAGTTTCTCTTTCCAGGTATTTTTTTTTATTACGTATGATAATTTTCTTTCGAAAAAAAAAACGAATTAAACTTTACACAAAGTAGCCCCACAGTGCATTTTTTTCATTTTCCGTTTATTTGCTATTAATTTTCAAAATTTTTTAACGCTAACAAGATATAATTGTTTATTAATATATAAATAAAAAATTTTGCACTTACGACAATTGTTTTATCAACGTCTTTGCATTTCACAGCTAAAGTTTCCACGCACACTTTTCGACGTTCGACGTTCTCGGAAAGTTGTTGACATTGGACAAACAAAACACACTCTGAGATTGTTTTAAAATTCGAAAAAATGTTTGTAATAATAGAGGAGACTTCTATCTTCAAATTTCACGCATTTTTAATGTGAAAAAAACATAATGCTGAATAGCAGCACTTGAAAAGTGCCAAATTCGAATTTGCACAAAGTAGCCCCCGCTGCACAAAGTAGCCCCACATGACGGTATTATAAATGAAATATTTATTCAGGTGTAAATGGAATTAATTAAGAATTTTTTAATGTTTCCTTTTTTCAAATTATTTTCATCAAACATTATTATTGGGTTAAAGACGTATGAAATAAGTTATAACATGCGTTTTTAGACTTCACAAGAGATGGTGTCATCGTATTTCTATAGAGCTGTAGCTCTCATGCTAACAGTCGGAGCACTTTCCAAAGTTCAGAAATATGACAAAAGAGAAAACGAAAGAGCAGAGAAATTAGCAAAGTTGATAGAATATGATGACAAAAGTAGTAAGTATTTTTTTCTGTATATAACTAGTATTTAACAAGTAAATAACCAGTGTATAACCAGTAGTTCTGTATATAACCACTAAAATAGTTATTTTACTTCATTATTGAAACTAACATTTTTAGCAAGAAGAAAAATTCGGAAATTTTGTCTTCTAATCTAAATTACTATCTGGATTTATACATATTTGAATTAACTTTTCATACAGAATAAATGCATGAGACAGGCCACAAAGTCAAAAAATACCGTTAAAATATTAATTTAGATGGTTAGATTTCTATAAAATAAAAAAAAGGGGTTGTGTTTTAATGACATGCTAAACGTAACGTTTCATATGTTAACACAAGGGTTTCTAAACTTATCTAACCAGAGGCAGCCCTAAAAAGTTAAAATTTCTCACAACACCCTAGTCCTATAATTTCTAGCTGTAGTATAATAATAGACTTAATGCTTGGAATTTAAAGTCGCTCGCATCAAAAGTTTAATAGGTCATATTTCAGCGAGAACGTTTTGAATGTCGATTTCAATCTGATTCATATCCAAGTGTGAATGTTATTCATATCACGAATGTTATACGAAAAACATATTCTCAATTGATTGAAAAGTTTCGCCTGAAATATCCTGATATAGAAGTATCTGATATATATAGAAGTTATGTGATAAGGATTTTCGATACATATTTTCCATTATCGAATGTCTAATACACAGCGGATGCCTAATATTCTTCTAGTAATTAGACCCGTAAAGGTACAGAAATTCTCATATAATCGTAAATTTTACAGTTGATTTGATGGACAGTCTGATGATGACCGTAATTTTAGAATGAATTGAATAACTTGAAGCTCATAGATAAAAAAAATAAATTAAAAAGCTCCTATAAACAATGAATTATCACTTCTGAAAAAAGGGCCGAGATATTTTAGTGGTTGAGTTTTCATGCTTCCATCTTGAAAGCCCACCTAGCTTGTCTGGGAAGTAAATGTGGTCGGAGCGCAATGGTGACCACATTACCCCATCATGACATTCGTCACGAAATTGTTGTGTAGCATTAACCTCCATGACCTTCCTAGCCTACAAATGGCTGTCGTGTGAATGCTTTAGTTATTGCAGAAAAAAATAATTGTGTTCGAATTCTGAAAGTTTAAAACATTAGAGAGAACTTTTTAGCTCCTTTACCCTAATGAATTCTCTATTTTATGTATCTCAAATAATTACGTGATCTAATTTTTATCTTTAACTTCATTGTTTAATGATAAAAAATTCGCAACAAACATAATAAAGGCATTAATTTATCTGACAGCTTGAATGTTGTATGTCAAAACAATCAGATTTGTATGAAATGATTACCTCGTTCTGCTTCTTTTGCATACCTTTATCTAATTATAATAGAATCAATAGTTCCTGGTTCGAAAACAATTTGTGGTTACGGTTGCTCTTTTTTCACAGAAAAGAAATACTAAAATAATCGTTTATCTTTTTATTTTATAGGTCGACCTGTCAAAGTTATTCTTTTTTTTTTTCATTGGGTGTAAACAAGTTTATGTTCACCACGCATCCTAATCATAGGCGCGAGGACTACGCGGCCCTAAAGATCCCTCTTGTTCCCTTTTTAATTATATCTTATTTATTACTTTTAGTTTATTTTTATGAAATAAAAATTTGTTCAACTGTTAGAAGTAACTGCATAATCGTTTGAGCTTTCCCGGCAAGTTGCGCAATTCAAACAGTATTTTAATATGCTATAAAAAATTTTGTTATTAAATTAATGAATAGGTGTTTATATATGTTGCATGTACCAACATTTATTATGCATTTAAATCATTTAAATATATGCTGTTACGCGTATTTAGCAAAAAATAACCAAATGACTGTTTTTTTTTTCTTTGTGAAAAAATCATTGCCATTACTCCTTTTCCTTAATAGACTTATAGCGTAAACATTTAAAATGTTTTCTCAAACACAAAAGTTTTTCTTCTCCCAATAATTATTTTTACACAATATTAATTTAAACCTAAAATAATGACTATTAAATGTTTTTTTTTTTTTAAATTTGATGTTTAAAATATTATTTATGGAACAACTTAGAAATTATTTAAGCAAATCCGCACCGTAACACCAAGGTCTTTTTTCTTCTTCTCTTTGTTTTTTGCTTAAATATTTTTGCTAAATGGGAAAAACGGAGCCCTATATTTTGAATTTGGTCTTAATTTTTCCTAGGTAGTCGAAAATGATAATTTTGAAGTGGTGCATTTAAGATGAAAATATGGGTAGCATTTTAACGTCAAAAAAAATCGAATCTAAAGTTTGAAAAATAAGCAAATGTAATTGATATGCACCGCGAAATGAATGCTTTATATATATATATA